ATGTATTCCAAAAGATTTCCTGTTAGCCTCATGGAATAGCTGTCAATAGTGACATAATTTTGTTTTCTGGTCAGCAGAAAAGTTTGAAAGCCACAGTATTGGTTGACTTTTTTGAAGATATTTTAACATTGCTTTTGACCCCTGGTATTAAATCAATAATAAGGTAGCTGAAGGAGGAGAAAGTGTAAAACTAAGGAGCAAGTGTGAGACATCTGGAAGAGTAGAGAGGAGATTCCATTTCAAGCAAATACAGGGGCATGGGGCTAGGTGGCAGAGTGCCTCTATACCTACATTTACAGTCAAAAAGCAGAATTCCTGTTGAACATACACACATGTACATACACAGTTTTATGCTGGCACAGTCAAAAATTTATGACATCTCTTTTCAAACTGGTTCCTCTGTATTTTATCCCTGCTCCAAAGTAAAGTTAGTATATATAAATGAACAGGATTTTAAAGTTTACTTCTTCTCCAGAGACTACAGTTGTATTCAGACACCAGTTCTAACCAGTCTCTCTATTCAGGATAATATGGAATATTTAAGACAATCTATGCATGGGACTGTTAGCATGAACACAGGGAAAGTCTTTGACTCCACAGGCAGATCTGACTATAGACATGTGTTGAAAGTGAAAGAGCTCATTGTCTTCAGAAGGAAATCGAGGAGAAATTAAATGAAAAAAACGTTGGTAAAGAAGGCAAACCAACTGAAGACTAGATCTAGCATAAACCGTGTATGTCAGACACACGTTATAACTAAACAAAATATCTTAGTGCTTAGGTTGAGAAGGCATAAGGAAGAGAAGTAGCTCTGCTCGCAACAATTATACATATAACAGAGCAAAGCCTGGCACTCTCCCCTTTCAGTCCTGTACTTTACCCTTTGCTGAAATGAAGATGCCCCCCACCTCAACCAGAGGCAAAAGGGCCAAGAACCTCAGGAAATGCCAAGGCTACCATTTTGGAATGGAGGTAGTGTTTTTGGGTTTTTGTTGTTGTTGTTGCTTTGTTTTGTTTTGTTTTTCTGATAAATTTGTTCTAAAAATGAGTTTAAAATCTTATTCATGGGTAATCCTGAGGCAAGAGGGTATGGTTGAGTGCAAAAGTTCAGGGGAACCTGGAATAAAGGCTGAGAGAAAGCAGCAGTCCAAGATAGACTGGAAAAGCCAGGATGGGGCCACTGTCACTTACATACACTCTATAGTTCATGGAGATGATCTATGGTTCATTCAACACTCACATCCCTGGTTGAATATTTAGTACGATGCTGAGATATACAATGCACAGAGTTCTATGCAGTACTCCTTGTACTAGATTGGGAGTACTGGGAGGAACTGACCCACATAAGACAAATGACTCAAAGAGCCTGCACTATATGATATGCACTTTACACACATGACCTGTTCAGGAAACTGTTCTTCCTCTGGCCTTCTCCCTTCTCCCACCACTGGAAGAGAATCTTTCCTAATAAATTGTCTGAACTTCTGCTGCATCATGGTTTTTCTGTCCAACTCCTTGTTCTAGAACACAAGTAACCAGGTCCCCTCCAAGGATTCCAACAAAACTCAGTGTCCCCAGTACAAGCACCATTATTGACATCTATTATCAATAACTCTACCTAAAACCAAGGATGATTTACATCCCATAGAAAGGAGGAAGGAGAGCATCCAGTATCCTACGAAACACATTGTAGAAATCTTAGAATAGGAGCGTTAAGTCTTCAATGAGTATCTGTTGCCTTGTGTTGCTAAATACTACTTGGACCTGTCAGGGCTTCATCAAAGGTCTACCCATTTCCTCTTACTTTCTATAACAGCTTTACTAGAAGGAAAAAATGAAACTGTCCCAAAACATATCTGAACTATGAATCTTAATTGAGAAAACCTTCCTCGTGTGAATATTCTACAGTTCTCCATCAAAGTTGCTAAGAAGCACTGTTCTCACCCCAAACTTCAATAAGTTTGGAGGCTATCCAGCAATCATCTTTTATTTTTTAATGATTTTGCTATGCTGTGTATATGGGTGTTTTGCCTGTGTATATGTCTGTGCACCACATGTGTGCCTAGTATCCACATAGGCCAGTAGAGGGCATTAGATTCCTTGGAATTGGAGCTATAGATAATTGTAAACAACCACATGTCTCCTGGGAATTGAACCCAGTTCTTCTGGAAGAGCAGCCAACACTCTTAATGATGGAATCTTAACTGTCCCATGTACATTAGTGCCACTGCCAAAACTACCACAGAACAACTGCTTAAGCAATGTATTCATTATCCTACAATTCCGTAGATAAGGAGCCCTATGGGCACTTCACTGGACTAAACTCAAGATGTTAGAAAGCTGAGTTTCTCCACGGGGGTCCTAGAGAAGAACCTGCTTCTTTTCATTTGGGGTGTTGGTAATGTCCAGTGTCCTAAGGTTGAGACTAATGTTTCTACTCGGCACTAAGTCATTTCCAGCTCCCAAAAGCCAGCCCCGTTTCTTGGCTCATGGCCTCACCTCAGACTGTCAAAGTCTGCCATGTGGCCAATTTTCAGGATTTCAAATCCCCTCATCATCCCTTCTGACTCTAGGCCTCTGACTTGCTTCTCTGTCCTCCTGTCATACTTTTAAGAGCTCCTGTGGCTGTGTTGCTCCCACCTGAATATGTCAGCATAGGCCATGTGGGTTATCAGGCACACCCTCTGATTTTCCCTGTGTCCTATCAGGGCACACATCTCAGAATTCTAGAGTTGATTGGCAGATATCTTTTAGGACAACAATGCTGATGCCAGTCCAGTAAAATATTTTGTACTACCAAGAGGTTACCTTATTCATGAGCCGTAAAAATAGACAAATAAAAATGCTATAAATACTTATTCCTTTTTCATCTCTTTCAATGTTTTTGAAATAAATGTTTTAATCCACTGTTTACAAAAGGCTGAAAAAATGTTCCATTTTTTTTTCAAATCGTAATGTGATAGAAAAATGGAAATTTACCAGGTGACTTACTATAACAGCCACCATGTGGTTGGTGGATGTGATGTAAGTCCTAATGTTCAGACCTGGGAAGTATACCCAGAGTGCATTGCAGTTACACCAGTCAAGTTCAGATGCTGAACTAAACCAGCTGGCACAATGGAGTGACCAAATTTCAAATAGATCAAGAGATGCACAATGAATATTTGAAAAACAATAAAAGCTATCCATTGCTACCATTGAAATAAAAGTTCCAGAATTTTTCCCTTTTTTAGATATCCATGTCCTTTCATTATTGTATTTTTGTTATTTAAAACAATTTAATACATTTTACCATATTCGTTTCCTCCCCCCAAGTCTTCCCAGATCCCTCCCCCTTCTCCACCCATCCATATTAAGTTCTTTAAAAAAAAATATCAAACAAAATCCTGGAACAACAACACAACCAAAAAAATAAAAAAAAAACAAAAAAACAACCACCATTGCCCTAGCATATCTTTCAGATACATCTAGGCCCAAGTATATCTAGCATATCAACCACTGTTTATAAAAAGAACATTTACAGAATTATAAATGTATGAATAATGTTTAAAGTTTTTTTAAAAATCCATGTAACTTTGTCTTTACTCATCCCACACCATATATTTTTGCTCTTCTCGGACATATAAAATAATATATCAGTTATTTAAACAATAAAATATATTGAATTGATAAATACCATTTATAAATATACATACATAAATATATTTAGAGTATATATACTAAAATTTTACTAATTTTAGTGTATGAATAATCAAAATTGAAATATATTATGCTAACAAGTATATGACATATATTTAGCTAACACATGGCATACTAAAACAATTTTTAAAAGTATTTGTCAATTAAACTGATATTAGTTTTTCACTAACTTCAAGAGGGCTAATTCATATACAGGTGAATTCAATTTAATTACTCAAACATAGCATGAAAGGAAAAACGTTTCCTAAGGAGCCGAGGAAAGTTTAAGCAAATATTTTATTTACACTTATGTGTGTGTGTATGTGTGTGTGTGTGTGTGTGTGTGTGTGTGTGAAAGAGAGAGAGAGAGAGAGAGAGAGAGAGAGAGAGAGAGAGAGCGCTTCTAGATACCACGGGTATGCATGCAGGTAGAGAACATGGAGGTCAGAAGAGGGTATTGTCTCTCCTGGATCTGGAATTATAGGCAGTTGTACACTGCCAAGAGCCCCTAAGTAAACATATTTTATACTTCTTCTATACAATTAACTTAATTTTGAACATTGAACTTTGTCTTAGTTAAGGTTTCTATTGCCATGTTAAAACACCGTGGCAAACATAATCAGGGGAGGAAAGCTTTATTTCATCTTATCCTTCCAAGTCACACTCCATCACTGAACAAAGTCAAGGTAGGAACTCTCTCAGGGCAGGAACCTGGATGCAGGAACAGGAGCACAGGCTGTGGCTGTGGAGGGGTGCTGCTTTCTGGTTCGCTCCCCATGGCTTGCTCAGGTTGCTTTCTTATAGCACCAGAACCCTAGTCCAGGGTGAGCTGGGCCCTCCCACATCAGTCATCCATTTAGATAACACCCCACGAGACTGCCCACAGGCCCATCTGGTGGGACATTTTATCAGTTGAGGTTGCCTCTTCTCAAATGTGTCTTGGCTAGTGGACAGAAAATGGGCTACTACAAACTTTAATAGTCACAGAGAGAGCTCACTCATCTCTGTTAAGAGTGTTGGGAATCTAACTGTCCCTGTCTTCAGATACAATTGTTCTTGCTGTGAAATATACAAATAAACTTTTTTAAATTTGGCAGCAACAGCAAAAACACCCTCATCCTCTGGATTTGTTTCTCCCCTGGTGTTGTAAGTTTTGATTTCTGGTGATTGGAGCTGTATATTGTTAATGAGTGAATAAACAAAGGGTGCTTATAGTTTTATATTTTCAATTTATGTATTTCACCTGATATTTATCTGTTTGGACCTTGTAAACAAATATAGCATACTCCCTTTAAAAGTATAATCACATCCATCCTACTTACCAAACTATTCCCTGAGCCCCAGAGCCAATCGGCTTCAGGTTCTGGTAGCGCTTAAGAACTGTGAAGGTTGAGTCTCCCACTTCCACACTGTAGAACTGGTTGTCTACCTTGCTTTTGCTCATGTTGTAATGTTTGGCAATAGATGACACATCCACGTGTTTATCGAACCCCTGTCAAGAAGAACAGTGAGACAAGAGGAGCAGTTCAATGTTACTGGACACAGAGAAGTCTTTCCTTCCAATGGTTACACGCATCTGGTCATCTGTCCTCAAATCCATCTAGCTTACACAGAAAAACTCTGTATTGAGCCCTGCTAGTTTATCTGAAGGAAATGAACCTTAAAATTCAAACAGGCCTTCTTCATATTAATATGTTTAAGGCCTGGAAATATAGACCCTATGATATAGTCTCAACAACCAAACCACCAAAGCCTATTTCAAACAGAAAGAGAGGTGGTCCCATGATCACCTCGTCCCTTTTAGGTAAACAAATACTGAAAATATGCTAGTTTCAGTATATCTGAGATACTTAAGGATTCAAGAAAATGAGAAAGTGTCCCCTGGTCATAAGAGGAAGGAAAACGATGGTATCTGCAGTTCTTTCCTCAAAAAAAAAAAAAGAAAAGAAAAGAAAAAGCTGAGGCCACAGAGTAACATGCGGGTTCAGCTTTTATGAATTAGGTAAATTTGAATGGACATCAGTTGTCTTCATTCCTTCTCATTAATACCCAAATTACTACTGCCCTTATTAAGTCAGGAAAGTACTAGATTAATTAAACATTGTTCAAAAATTCAGGACAGTCTATTTTGAGGATGCTTGGATTTTCACATGGACTGGCTATTGCATCTCCTGTTGCTCTATGGAGAAATTCATGTGTTAGTCATCTTTGGTCGTTAAAGAGTTTTCCTTAAAATTCCAAATGAATATTTATACATAATATATGATAAAGAGCTACTACCTATGATTAGCATTTACTCATAAAAGCTCTGACATCAGACTTTACTACACAAAAGATATGAGCTAGGGTTAGAGTCATGCTGTAACTGATTTCATGTGGCTCACACTGGCGGAAGCCTACTTGATACTTAGGCCTCTTCTGGATGATTTTATTTAGGTTTTAAACACACATGCTTTCTGTGTATTGTTTCAAACAATTAAAAACCAGTCTTAGCCAGTGGTTCTCATTAGACATGACATCTACACATCGGGGACATTCAGTTAGGAGAATCCTGACGTGTTGTATGGAGCACAAACAAGGAGAGCTAGGACTCATACAGCTCTTGAGTTCCTGGTGTCTGAAATCTTTGTGGTGGTCCTGCAGGAGCTGGGGATTCCCACGTGACAGACAATTTCCAATATACATCACAAGACTTGAAAGTCCAGATGAAGCTTTACTCAGTGAAAACTTCACCTATAATGCTTTGAGCCTAGAATTTAAATCAAATTTTTCATATAATTTAATACACATTAGCTTTTTTTAATATCAGTTCTCATATAACTTGAATGCTTTGAACTCTCTTAGGCTCTAAACCTCTGAGTTGGATAGAAAACCATTTCCCTTGGAAAGTTTTGCCACTTCATGTCTAAATAAAAAGTTGATATGGAAGAACTTCTTAATCTCTGCCTGGGTGGACTGCAATCCAGTCAGGATGGTGGCAGAAGGAAAACTGAATGGGGATGATTTGAACTGAGCCAGAAGAATATGGGAGTCTACTGAAGAGTCTGGAGGCCCCAGACTGGTGCGGCAGGCATAGAGCAGAACAGACATAGCAGGCTGCCCTGTGCCGGGGAGCAAGCACAGTGGTGGCATTTGGTAAAAATGTGGGGAACCACAAATAGAGGTGTAAACTATGGGTTAGAGCTCTGCATTGTTTTAGAGAGTCATCAGAAAATGCAAGTAACTTGCAAATGTGACAAATGTCCTGAAATCTGGAAAGTAGTCTACGCAGCATAGCATAGGATATTAAACAAGACCATTCAAAAGCCGAGTGTTGCAAGCCTACAACAATGGAGTTTACAAAGGGGCAACAATGGGGTTTAGAATTTAGACAGTATGTGAATAGCTGCAGGCACAAGAACATTAATATTTAAACTGCCCTGGATTTTAAACCAGCATTATGTACAGCTCTCCAAACCACTGTCATTTCTATTATACACTCAGGTTATGATTGTGATTAGTACACACTATGTGTGATTAGTATATGTGATTATTACATACATGTGATTAGTATACACATATGACTAGTATGTACCATCTTGCTAAAAAGAAAATTAAACAAAGTCAAAAGAAATGACAGCATTCAATACTTTTCATCTGCAAGAATAACATGGGATGACTGACACCTGACTAATGTGACATTTGTTGTGTTCTGACTCTTTGTTGCACACCTTAGTATTTGGAATATCATAAAATGCATAGCACAAGTTAGCTTCATCAACTCTAGATGCCCAGTATTGGTCCTGAAGTACTGCATGTGTGTCTTATCACATGTGTGTATTAATCACATATATGTAATAATTACATGTTACCAATCATACATATATACTAATCATACATGCATACGAATCACACATGTGCACTAACCACAAGTATATACTAATCAAAGTATATACTAGTCACATGTATGTACTAATCACATGTGTGTACTATTCACATGTATGCAATAATAACATATGTATGCTAATCACACATATAATACTAAACATACATACGTACTAATCACAGTGTTTACTAATCACAGTGTATACTAGTCACATGTGCATCTAATCACATGTGTGTACTAATCACATGTATACTTATCACATGTGTAATAATTTCTTGTAGTAGACTTCATATTCCAGACCCCTGACTCTACACAGCCCCCACTCCCTATTTGTAGGCTCTGTTGTGGTTTTCTAGCTGTAATCTCCATTTCTCCATAAGAGGTGAACTAACCTGCTGGAGATACTCTCTCACCACCTCAACACAGTCAAGAAAGTTTAATAATTCATACAACTCCTTGTTGAGGATTACCTAATCTATGCAACACTTACAAGTGCTTAATTCAATATTGATGACATGCATAATATGTGAGAAATGCTGGGTTAGCACTGGCAATGCAGCTAAAGTCAGATAAAGCTGCAGCCTAGAGTGAAGATGATGACGTGAATAGTTAAATTCAGATGGTTCATTCTATACGCAACAAAGTAAATACTCTGGTAATAAATAGAGAGTAACAACTTATTGTCTGTATAGTGTCATCATTAATTTATTCAGATACTACATATAAAACAAATATATATATATATATATATGTATGTACATATATATATCATAAATTAATTATAAATAACAATGGGTTCTCCTGTGACATTTATATGCATGTGCATGTGCATTCTGATCATCCTCATCCACTACTCTCTCCTACCTTCTCCCACATCTGTGAACTGCACTCCTTTCCCATCTGGCCAGACTTCTACTCTCATGTCTTTTCTATGTGACCCCACTAAGTTTCATTAGGATTGCTCATATACACATTGGTGAAAGTTTATTTACAGTATCATGTGTACCTTACCATTGGACACACCCTTGAAGAAAATGTCTCTCCCTCCTAATCAACCATTATCTCTGCTTAAATCCTCAAAGAGAGGTAGAGCCTCATGAGTTTCTCCTCCATCCATGACAGGATGTTGACAGGCCAGATCTTGTGGAGATCTTGTCCAGGTAATCAAGAGTTCAAGAGTGCAAAGGTGTGTTAAACCCAGAAGCTAGCACACCACACTGCTCCATGTATTCTTCTAGTGTTACATTCCTCCCACCCATTTTCCATGTTCTCTGAACATCGGAGACTGTGTTAAAGATGTGATTTTCCATGTTCTCTGAACATCGGAGACTGTGTTAAAGATGTGTAATTCCATAATTAGAGCAGTGAGCATTGTCCATGTTGCTTGGGAGTTTTGGGGTCCTCTCTAAGAGGGAGAAATAATCCTGTCAGCGGTGGGGCCTACAGTCCTGTGATATGAAAGCAGAAGGATAAATACTGAGACTGGAAGTTTGAGTAGAGCAAGGGACAAAGCATGGAGGAGAAAGCACCCTATGAGCTGAAGTCGGGAATGTTTAAGGAGAGCTTTGCTCTGCGCTCACTAGCGGTACAGGACCCCTCCTCGCCAGCTCTTTGATGTGAGTGTGCCTGGAGAACACTGATTGAGCTTGAAAAATACAATCCTGTGCACTGTGCACTCACCCTGGAGCTTTGGATTTGGGCATCAGTTGTGTTCCAGAAGCATATACCACACACACACACACACACACACACACACATGCTTGTATATATACTTCACACTTATCTATACCTTCGTGTTAGATTTGACTTAGATTCCAGATAAATCTAAGAGTTAGAGAACACCTCTTTGAAAAGCCTTTTATTAGTTATTTAAGCAACAAATAAACATCATTGAAATTTTTATTGGATTAATAGAAAATACAACCAAAAATTCCATGGCAAGTGCTTTGTGAGGAGCTTCCTCCTTTACACTCTCATGCTGACAGAGAATTGTACTTTTAAATGCAAACAAATCCTGAGATTCCTTTCAGCCTTAAAGTCAAAAATCTCAGTTTGACCTGAGACAGGCCTCTACAATTTGGGTGAAGTCCTCAGACCATTAAAGGCCCCAGAAGACATTAACATTCCTGGGAATTTATGCTGAGACTCCTCCTTAAGAACTCTTAGTGAGATACTTCATCTGTCATTTGACTGAACAACTCTTTTAAACGTGGGTTCTGTGTTCCTTTGCTTCTGTCTTTCTAGCCAGAAACCCACTAAATGTGTGAGTGCTGCTGATGCCGTGTTATTGGTCATAAGCCTTGATTGTGCTTTGCTCAGATATAATGGCCTGTTTGTACTTCAGGAGCACTCTCTCCTTGATCTCACTGAGGAAGACTGACCTATGCTGTTGCTAAAAGCTCCTGAGCAAGGGGCATTGGGGTTAAGAGCCCTTACCGGTCGAGCGTCCTTGCTTTTGTGTTTTGTTTTGCTTTGCTTTGTTGTGTTTTGTTGTTTTTTTTTAATATTAGAACTGAAAATAATACGGAGCTTGGGTCAACGCTGCACTTCCGACCTGTGAAGCCTTGGGCCTGGCTTTTCATTTTCACTCATTATTTATATGCTATGTGGCTCCTTAAAGGATTTGG